CACTTATTTTTCTTCGTCCCATGTTTTGATTCCATATTGTAGTTTAGTGCATTTATCTTCTGCTGTATCTACAATTTATTCTTCGACAATTGATTGCTTTAAATCCCAAATTACAGCGTTTATATGCTATTTCATTATGTTTGGACTTTTAGGAATAAATCAAATCCGAAAGGTTTTGTTATGAAGATTACAAACATAAAAACTAAGAGAGCTCTGTGTTACAAAGATTGCATCTCAAAATGGAGTTTCGGCTTCACTTCTTGTTTCATTAGGGCTGTACAAAGCCGATCTATTCCTCGGCCTGTTCTCTTCCAATTGCCTCACAACCTCTTCCATGGCGGGTCTGACCGAAGGAACAGGAGCACAACATCCCATCGCCAGCTTTAATGCCTGAACCAAACCGTCTTCCATAGGACTCCTTATTCCTTTCAAAACCTCCAAATCGAATACCTCCATTGTTGTCTCCTCCAAAACCGCAATTTTAACCAATGAAGGTAAATCAACAAACTCGTTGTTCCTTCCGCTCTTTCCTGGTTTCTTCCCCATTAAAATCTCCAAGAGAAGGATTCCAAATGCATAGACATCGGTTCTTGGATTGCACTTCTTCATCTTGTTGAGTTCTGCTGCTTTGTAGCCGTCAGATTTTGCCTGTGACATGATCTCATCGGCTACAGCTTGTACCATTAACTTGTCAAGACCAAACTCAGTGAGCCTTGCCAAGAAAAAGTCATCCACAAGAACGTTCCCTGATCTAACATTTCCATGGATAATAGGTACTTCTTGTCCGGTGTGAAGATAAGCCAATCCTCGTGCTATTCCCAGCGCAATTTTGTGTCTCCTAGCCCAATTCAGAACCGGTTTTCCTGGTTTACTTTCTGAAAACGAATAAAACCAATCAAGTACATTAACTACAATACTCACATTATGATCAATGATAAGAAGTTGGAGGAAAAAAGCGAAATACCGTGCAACAAATCATGCAGGCTTCGATTGGGAAGATAGTCGTAAATGAGAAGTTTTTCTCCTCTTTTCCCCTGATAGAAAGCCCTCAACGGAACCAAATTCTCATGTCGAATACGTCCCAATTGCTTTATTGTAGGCATACAAGAGTTTCTATCCTTGCAGCTTCCTTCTCTCAAAAGTCTTAAAGCAATTGTTACTCCCTCACTAAGCTTCGCCTTGTAGACAGTACCGTAACTCGTTTTCTCCATGACTTGACCTGTCGCATTCAAAACTTCTTCTAGTGTCAGATTCTCACCGCCTTGAAACACAACCAA